ACAAGTCCTAACATGGGTAAAAATAATATGAGTAGAAAGTATACATGACAAACTCCATTTTATCCAACCGGACCAAATCCTTTTGATGTATGAAATAATTCCTACAAAAATCACAAAGTTCAATGTTTTGTTAATAGAAAAACCGAAAACAGTTTTATTTTCATAGCCACTTTAGTGTTGTTGTTGATCAAGCAAATGAACTCTAATATGGATGTAGTTGGTACTAACATGTAGGTTACAGAAAAATGCTCAAAATTAATATAAGGCGTAAAATCATAGGAGGTACAGATCCATAGTTGTAGTGTTTTGAAAACAACTTAAAATGTTTAAAACTGACGAATTCTCGGACTTGGCAGAATTTCAGGGATTTTCAGAATATTGTTTAATCTTTGAAAAACCATAGAAAATAATTCGCAACTCGGATGAAAAAGATTTATACATGAAAGTTGCTCAGAACAACGAGACAAATCGGACTACGCTCTCCGTTCATCTGTCACATGCACATAGCATAGCAAACATGCAACTTTTCCCCTTCGTTTCGTTTGTTCGAAAATGCCAAACTTTGGGAAAACTTTCTTGGATGTTATCCCCCTTCGCCGGTGTCGTGTAGCACCGCGTTAGAACACCCCTAGCGCTACTTTGCTTGTCATCTATCTGTTTGCTCTATATTTAATGTTTCTTCCCCCTCTTCTCTCTGGTAGACCCCGAGACCAATGTCGATGTCCCTGTGAGCGACCACGTCACCGACGACCCCTCCTTCTCGCCTGAGCAACCAGGCAAGCCCCCCCCTTTGATCATCCCGATATCGCCCATTTCATTCTCGCATGCTTGCATTAGATTTTGCTACTGTAATTGATTGCTCCTATTCTGATGCATAGCCTGCTTTTGTAACCTGATTATTGTTACCTACCTGCTTATCCTAAATTGCTTAGTATAGGTTGGTTAGTGATTCATCAGTGACCCCCACCTTGTCCTTGTTGCCCCTGCTTCATCATCGACGACTCGATCAACGTGATCAATGACCAGACCCGACGCCTATTTTATTGCTCGACTCTGCAGAGCCACTATCGAGTGCCGAGGGTGAGACCTTACAATGCACTCCTGATGACAACTCTGTAGTCTAGCTATTCGTTCGTGGTCAACGAGGGTGGTTCCTCCTTCACCATTCCCGATACGGCTCTGTCGTGCAACCCCTCAAGTGTGAACCTCGAGGGTGGTTCCTCTTACGTTCACCTTGATGATTATATCGAGTGGAATTCACCGGGGGTGATTCCTCGGGTTTTCCCCTTAATGTTTGGACACACGGTTACCTTGACCTTACTTGGGACCATTGTTGAAGTCAGGTCAGCCCTGAGGGGTACCCGCGAGTTGATGTGAAAGTAGGCGGGCCCGTTGAGCACCGGCGAGTTTTCTACGTGGCACGGCCGGGCAATCTGGGCCCTTGTCGTAAGTCCATGAGACGGGGCGACGGGGTCACATTATCCTGAGTCTCTGCTCGTCTCCGCGAGCCCCCAATGCACTAACATGTTTGGGTATTTGTTTTAAATTGGCCTCTGGCCTTTACGCACTAACCACCATGCGAGAATAGATATGGGCCTCGACGTTGCAGTATCGGCCGAAGCTTTGTCAGATGTCCAGTTCAGCATTGTGGGCCTGTCGGGCCAGTGCCATCCAGTATGAGGTGGTGCTCGTCCTGGCTCGTCGCACAATGACCCGGAGTGCAAAGGGCGATGGGCCCAGACCCCGGAGTGCTTAGGATGTAGACCGGCGGGGACCTCTCTGCTGAGCCTAGGTAGGGCTACAATGTGTTGATCTACCGACGCCGAGCATTGACCCGGAAAAGTGTGTCCGGCCAGAGTAATCAAGCATGTTGGAAAACATGGTGCACCCCTGCAGGGAAGATATATATATTCGAATACCGTGCCCACGGTAATAGACGTTCAGACTCGTATCCTGGTCTTATATAACTAGAAATGGATACTTGAGACATGTAATGGAGATGTGGCTCTGGGATTGCTTTCTCTTAGAGAGTCGAGGAAGGATCTCTGGGCATTAATGTTACAACATGCTTGTTAATTAAACTGCTATTCTTTACTCTTCTACATGGTGCAATATGCTTGAAGCCGCTTGAAGATGCTAGTCTTCAATAGGCTAGGCCTTCCCCTCTATTCTGTCATTGTGCAGTTCAGTCCATAGATACAACCCTTCCATTTGATACCAATGCATACTTAGCATAGATCTGATGCTTGCGAGTACTTTGGATGAGTACTCACGGTTGCTTTGCTACCCCTTTCCCCCCTTCTTTTTTCTTTCCGGTTGATGCTACTAGTTGGTGGATCCCTGGAGCCAGGAGCCACCGCCGACGGATAGTACTACATGGAGACCGCCGACGACCAGGAGTAGTTAGGAGGTCCCAGGCAGGAGACCTTGCCTCTTCGATCGTTGTTGTTTTGTGTTTGCCTTCTTAAGGCAGTCTTGTTTAACTTATGTATGTACTCAGATATTGTTCTTCCACTGACTCTTGTGTATCAAGCTATGTATTCGAGCCCTCGAGGCCCCTAGTTTGTAATATAAAGCTTGTATTATTTTATATTTGTCTAGAGTTGTGTTGTGATATCTTCCTGTGAGTCCTTGATCTTGATCGTACACATTTGCGTGTATGATTGAATCGGTCACAAGTTGGTATCAGAGCCGACTGCCTGTAGGACCCCCCCCCCTTTCCAACTCCTTGGCCGAAGTTGAGTCTAGTCTTTGAGAAACTATTTTACTAACATGGCTGTGTGGCTTACGGGCTCATGTCGCCATTGGGTGGTATTAGGATCTTTTATTCCTCGTCTATACTCTAGGACTCTGATCTCTCCTCTATCCGGGTTAAATGATTTGCTAACTCCAACATTAGGTTGTCGTGATCACACCCATCCGGAGATCTGTATTACGCCTTTCTTGAATTGAGGGCCAGGATATGCTTCACAGTGTTCACTGACCGCAGGATCCTCTTGTCGAGGGCACCCTGCATCGCCACTTGCAGATCCCTCACTCCAGTGGTTTTCTCCAACGTTGATGTAGCCTTTGCTATGTGCCGGTGTTGTAGCCCTCCACGCGTGCATGTGTGCCGCCTAGTATGTCAAGGACGTTTCTCTTGTCCGAACTCATACGAACAACATGTGATTGGCTCTATATATGTATCAGTATGTCTTCCATGACTACTGCTTTGTACATATTGTGCCTTTGCTCGTTGTCCAAGATATGTCATGAATGACTCCATACACTTGCTCCACTCCTTGCTAGACTACCCCTGTTGCATTTAAGCAGGATGGTTAGACCTGCTAGTTGTGGACGTGCTGTCAACAATCCACCACCGCCCGAATACATGGCCGGAATGATACAACAGTTGAGCTGAATCGTGATTTCATGGAAGGAGTCATGGCTCAGTTTACGCACCCCATATTATGAATCCGCAACCTGCCCTAGTGACTCTGCAAGACTTTGCGCGTCTCAACCTTGTCATCTACCGCAGCTCAACTCAGCCCCTTGATGCTGATGATTGGCTCCATGACATCACTTTCGAGTTGGAGTCTGTTGATGTAGCCCCTACCAACTGTGTCACCTTTGCGGCTTACTACCTGAAAGGTCCCGCTGCTCAATGGTGGTACACCCACAGTCGTTCCTTACCTGTTGGAACCGCCATCACTTGGCCAAAATTTCAAGCTGCATTCCGCGGGCCAATGTCGAACCACCATGGTTAGTCATCCCCGTTTAACTTGAAGGACCGAAATCCCATGTTTCCCCCATTGTTTTGAAGTCATCCAATATTGACCTCATTCTGAGCATGGAATGGTTGAAAACACACGCCGCTTCTATCATCTGCGCCACTAAAACCGTCCATCTACTACATCCTTCGAGTGAGATAGTAAGCTACCATGCTCATCTTGTTCATAATGCCGATGCATGGATTTATTCCTTGAACGCGTAAACGCTTCTCCTCTTGTGGGAATTGAAAAGTCTCCAACCATTTGTGAATTCCAAGATGCCTTTCCAAAAGAACTACCCAGTCCTTGACCTTGATCTTGCTGCAGTTAAATTTGCACTGAAGTTGTGGCGACATTTCCTTCTTGGTAATCGTTGCGAGATCTTCACCAATCATCAAAGTCTAAAGTATCTGTTACTCAGCTAGATCTGGATCTTCGTCAACAGCGATGTATGGAAACAATTACCGACTATGACTACGGTGATTCTTATACCCCTGGCAAGGCTAGTGTCATAGCCAATGCCCCGAGTCGCAAATCTTAATTGCAACAACCACTTGGCTTCTAAAGCTCAACCCTTGCAAGATGATCTCACTTATAGACAGCATCCGGTCCGCGTTCTCGATCAAGCTGAACGGCGCACCGTCTGAGGGCTATCAAATTTCTAAAAGTTCAGTGGTCAAATCATTCTGAAGATGAAGCCACTGGGGAACTCGAGGATCGTTTTCGAGATGAATACCTCATTTTTGTTTCCTTCTACCTTCAAAATCTCGGGACGAGATTTTTTGTAGTGGAGGAGAATTGTGACGCCTGGATAATTAAGCTACAATAATCATCTGCTAATGATGCCACGTCACCACGATCTCTGTTGTTAAAACTCTCGTTGATTCGAAACCGGGTCAAATTCAAATTTAAATTAAAGTAAAAAACAAAAGTTTTCATAGGTCAAAACTTAAAAGTTCAAGTGTGGCAAATATTCCATAACCAATTATGGTGGTGAACCAACATTTTTATAAAAGTGGTTTAATGCCCTAAAGTAATTAAAACAATGGCTTAAACAATTATTTAAATGCATTTCAAATAATAAATAAATACAAACTATTTTATTAAAGTGCCAAGTTATTTGTGGCAGTGTCCTAATTACTAATTCTAATTTAGGGGCTTAGACCATATTTTATAAAACCTAAAATAAAATAAAACTAATTAGAAAACAAAAAGGTTTTAAAAGGAAAAGAGGAAACAAAAGATAAGAAAATGCATAAAGAAAAAGAGATAAGGCCCCTGCCTTTTCCCCCGGGACAAGCCCACCTGGCCGACCTAGCTCCCCCGCACCAGGTGCTCCCCTCCCCTGTTCCTCAGGCACACCCGACCGCGCCCGCAGTCGCCGCCGCACCCTCTCGTCGGCAGCGTCGGGAGAGGATAAGGGCGCCACGCCCCGACTCCTCGATCCCACCCCCCCACTCGCTCACCACTCCCCTCGCTCTGTCCGCCTCTCCCCTCCTCCAGATCCGCCTCTCGCCGACGCGCCCAACACCGTCCGCCTCACTCCGTTGCGGCCACCGGACACCTCCCGCCCCGCTGTCGTGTCCGCGAAGGCCTTCTCCATCCGCTACATCCTCCACGCCGATGCACTAGAGCCGAAGGCCACGTACGACGCTTTCCCGAGACGTCTTCCTCCTCGGTACCTCGTCGTCGTCTCCATCGACGCCGGTCGCCTCTGCGCCCCCGTTCACTCGATGGGCCTCCTTGTGCCTCCTCGGTGAGCACCTCCTCTCCCCTCCCGTTCTTGCGCCGTAGGCCGCCGTCCCCGAGCTCGTCCGAGCTCCCACTTACGCGTACGTGCAGTAGTTGCTCCTGTTGCTGCGATGCCGTTGCTGATGCGCTGCTGCCCGCTCTTGTGCCCCACTGCTCGCCTCTGGCTGGGCGCACCTACGCCCAGCGGCACTTGTCCGTGCGCGCTATGTCGCACCCGCGCGTCCGTACCCGCCTTGGCTGCGCTCCGTCCGCGTGGCCGCGTACCCCGCCCACGCCCAAGCCGCCTTGCAGCTGCCGCCCCGGGGCACTCCTCGGCTGCGCCTTGCCCTGAGCCTGCTAACTGCCCCTGCTGCTCATTCAACAGTTTTTTAATACAGTTTTTTTTTCATATTTTGTGTGATGTATGTTGAATAGTTTTTTAATACACATTGAACATTTGTGTAATATACACTGAAAAAATTTCAAATACACAGTGAACATTCATAGTATTGGTTGGGCAAATTCTTAATATATGCTGAAATTTTATAATGCATGGTGAACTTTTTATAAAATACCGTGAACACTTGCTTAATATACTATGAATTGTTTTGTAATGCACACTGAAATTTTGTATAATACCCAAAAAAATAGATAAAAAGCAAGAACAAAAAAAATGAAAAATAAATAGAAACAGAAACAGAGAAAATAAAGTAAAAGGCAGTGAAACCTAACCATGGGCCGGCCCGAACTGAGGCGTCGGGGAAGGGGCACCTTCAGCGAAGAGCGTCAAATAGGAAAAGCCGAGTAGTTACGTGAATACCTGCTTGGACTCAAAGTCGGCCACTCGTACGGTGGTGCCCTCTATCTATAAAACACTTAACATACGAAGTCTACGGTCGCAACTCACGATCGATCGACTTCGAGCGAGTTGCTGCCGTCCACCGATCGAGTAGGATGCGCATCTATTTGCCTTGGGACTTCGATGTCTATGCTACAGCGGGACGTCCTCGTCCCAGTGAGGCCGAGGAGATCCCTAGCTACATGCTACAGGAAATACTGATGAAGCTGCCGACCAAGGACGTGGCCCGCTGCTGCTGCGTCTCCAGGCACTGGCGCAGCGCCGTGAGAGACCCCACCTTCCGCAAGCTCCACGCAGCGAGCCCTGCCGCGCTGTCGGCGGAGCCCGAGTTCTTGCGCTTATCCGGTGTACCATGCGGGCTCGGCCAGATTGTCAAGGCCAGTGTCTTCAGGTTATCATCGGACAAACCCATGTGCACCGTCGCCATCCCCGAGCGCTACTTCCTCCACAACATCTGCAACGGCCTCGTCTGCTTCCTTGACAGGGACCGCAAAGGTCAGACGCCGGTGCTGGTGTGCAACCCCGTCACTGGCGAGACGCTGGCGCTTCCCGAGGCGCCTCCGCTCAGCAACATGGACAATGCGTATCATCTCTTTGCCTTGGGGTTCAGCCCGCCCACCAACGAGCACAAGCTGTTCCGCCTCTCTTTCCCGTCATACTCGTACTCCTTCGAAGAGCGGGTGGAGGTGGGCGTCTACACCTTGGGCGACGCCCGCGGGTGGCGCAAACACTCATTCCTCTCGCCCTTTAGCCCATCATCCAGAAGAAATAACACTTCGGCGCCGGTGCTGATCGATGGTAAACTTCACATGATCACCAGACCGTGGAATCGTGTACATACCTACAGACCGACAGGAGTGCTGGTAGTGGACGTGCGTGCCGAAACGTGCCGCACTTACCCTCTCCCGAACGGTCTCGGGACCTTTCCAGATGAGAATCCGGTGACCTTTGAGCTCAAGGGGCAGCTGTGCTTCGCCGCACACGTGCGTGGCCGCTCCACGGTCCTCCGCTTCTGGGTCATGGCCATGGAGAACAAGGAGTTGGACGGCAAGAAGGAGCCGCACTGGGACTTGCGCTACAGCTTCTGCGTGAAAGGAGAACATCGCTTCACCACCCGAAACCCGTGGAATGCATGGTTTGAACATGAGACGCTCTGGTACACGCGCTATGACACCTTGCACATGTATCCCAAGAGGTCGTCCGTTCCTGACCACGGTCGACTGTTACAACGGTGCAAGCAGCTCCAACGGATAGCACCAAGGGAATGGGAATGGAGCATCCATCGGGGTTACCGTCCCACTCTGCTCTCGCCTCGCATCTTTGAATTGCCACCACCACAAGACGAGATCATGATGGACGTATGCTCTTAAGGAATTGTAGTACTATCGTATCAGTTTATTGTCCGAGTTTTCAAAGGAAATTTTGTATAATGTCCCAGGATTGAAATTTACATTGCGTTTAGTTATTCTGAACTACCGTTTTGTAGCTGAGCATGTAAACAATTTCCGAACATACTTTGATAGGAAATGCGGATAAAACGACCAACATCTCAATAATTACGATGCACACAATCTTAGTATTATTATTATTATTAGAAGGGTAGTGGTGTTTGACAAAAGATGCTTACAAAAGAAAAGAAAACCATAAAAAGTTCAATTTTAAATAAGTTATATACTACAATTCTGGACATTGAAAAAGATGCTCCTACTTATCCATATTAATTGTCGCTACTTTAATATTTTTTTCGAAACGCGCATGAGATTTACGCGTCATTTCATTAAGAAAGAAAGAAAAAACCTGGCACAACCTCCACTCACTATCTTTGCCAGCAACTATCCCACCGGTCGAAGTTGTCACGTTGTCGAAGACCAACTATTTCTCTCTTTCCAGATGTGGTGCATCACTAGGACAAGGTAGGAGTTGAGCTTCTTTCTTGTCGCCACCGGGGCGTCTGTGCTTGCTGCCGTCCACCATGCGACGGGCGCGTCATGCTGAGTAGGAGTGTGCCACTCCCATCCCCTAGCCCGCAATGCGTTGAACCAGACAGCGCGGGCAAAGGAACACCGAATTAGCAGGTGGTCGAACGTCTCCGGTTCCTGAAGGCATAACAGGCAGCAAGGCTGGTGCGGTAGGCTCCTAGCTGCAAGGCGGCCTAATTAAAGTCCAGCACCGGTTCTTGACAACCAGCCAGGCGAAGAATTTTAGCTGGGGAGGCACGTGACAGTTCCATATTTCCTCGGCCATTGGTATGTCCGTGAGCCGGAAGAAGAAGGCACGATAAGCTGCTTTAGTATGGATCAGAGGGGGTAGTTAATAGCTATATACAAACACAAACTATTACTGGGAAAAACATTCATAGATTTTATATTTGCCACAACCATACCAGGCGTCCAAAGTAAAGCCATAAGTCCTACATAATCTTGTGAGCACACGCGCTATTCGAGTGTATCAAAACTCTACTGAAGGCGATTCTAGTATTCTAGAAGAAAATAATAAGTTTACTATATATGCTTGTCCCAAGCTCCTTGTGTGAGCAGTATGGAACTAAACCCATGACGAGCTTTGGTGGTTTTTAGAGTTCATGGACCACAAGTGCACGCGGGACATTGGCCACTGACCGCATGAAGCCCGATAAGAAACCATGGACCTTGAAAGCCTCTCGACATAACGATGTAATGGCAATGCTAATCTCGTGCACAATGATTTTGGGACAATTATTGACGAGTAGGCATGCCGGTAACCGCATGCTTACAATAGTTGCCATTGGTGCCCAATCTATTATGTATATTTTAATATGTACTAGCTACGAATCAAGTTTGATATATCCCATGTGCACAAATGACATCAATGCCCTGCAATCGTCCCAAAATCATCTAGAACCTAGTCTTCTCCGCAAAGCATCTTAAATATGACACCGTATATATAGGTTGGGAACGATCGATCAATACTAGTGTCAGAAGAGCGTTGCTTTACTTGAGCAATCTCGAAACCGAGGAGGATATTTGTGACTGGAACACACGCACGTTATCAGAAGTAAACTCTGCATGTCCATGCAAGGACTAATGATGGTCTCTTTATCTGCACCCCAAGAGTGTTGATATCCACTAAGACTAGCCACAGTGGGAGTAACTTCAGCAGTAACATCGAGTCCAACTCAGCAAATTTGCTTATGTGGCAATGAGTTAATAAGGAGAGAGGTAGTAGTAGTAACTTAACTAGTTACTGTAGCATCACATGTCCCAATGCAATATGAGTCTACAACCTAATAAATGAAGCTATGCATGTTACCACACTTATGTTACTACCCACTATGAAAGTAGTAATATAGTCTAGGAATACGTGTATGTTACTAGTGTATGTTACTCTTCATTGTGGCTAGTCTAAAATCATTGACTGCTGCCTATGTTTAAGTGCAGAAAAAAATGTTTTCCCCTCCAGAAACAAACACCGCTTAAATAACAGGAAAAATATACATCTCCCGTAGCACCGCTTTCATGGATAGACATTACACTTACCATTAATATCATGACTTTATACCTCGGGTACATAGCCCCACCAGTCCACTATTTCTTGCCTCTTATCGCATAAAAATCCCTATTTGTCAAGGGATAAATAATGAAGTAATCAGCAACGCACTAAAGAAAATGATGCCATTTGTATAGACTATCAAAGAGGAGGATCTGGAAATGTACGGCATGGGGATATACCCATAGTGTTACTACATGGATAGCATGTACTACAAGTTGACCCCTGACATTGTCAGGACAAGAAAAAATGACACAACCCACCATGTTGCACGACACGCCTCTTGCGTAAGCAATGTATCCAAGGGACATGCATTTTAATTGTGAATGAAATGGCACCTAAAGTGTTTTTCCGCAACCCAATTATAACCAATTTATAGCCGTGATCCAGAAATAAGGAGACATTTCCCCCCTTCAACCTCCATGAGGCGATAAGGGAGAACCCTCGTTCCCCACCGTCCACGGACCGATGTTGAGGCTGTGGGTCGGTGATCTCTCCGGCATTTGGTCATGGGCTGGGAACCCAAACTTTCTGGCGTTGCAGATAAGTTATGGTTAGGGTATCGAGGTGGTGTGTCACTGATGGTAGCGAGGGTGGCTGTGGGGCATTACAATCAAACCAATGATTTTCTATGCATGCATAAGAGCATCTTCGGCCACAATGTACAAATTTGGCCCCTCAAACGCCTGCGGATGTGCCCGGTCAGCGTCCGGGCGTGTCCGCTTTGATTCTTTATTTTTCTGTTCACGCAACCATGTCCCTCAGTTTTTTCTTATATGTCCAGTCACATGCATGTGATTGATGAAGAATGAGAGAAAAAGAAAAGAAATAATAAAGAAAAAAGATATGGGGGCCCAATCCTATGTGGCGGAAGCAGGACCACTGACTGGGCATGCCCAGGCACTTCACATACTCATCTCATATATGAGATGAATGTGAGGGCTGCCGGACAGACCGGGTATTTAAGGAGGTTTTGAGGGGTCTGGTTGGGTCAACCTTTTGCTACTTTTTGCTTCTTTCTCCTGTCCGATCACTGGTCCCCGTGCCCGTCCAGCCAATTTAAGGGGGTCCGGCTATAGATGCTCTAAGTATTTTGTGTTGCATAATATGATCACTTTCATTGTTTATTTTTGGTATGTATCAATAAGTAAGATTGATGGTGGATTAGAGAGAGACCATTGATCACTTGGGCAAGCATGCATGTAAATGTAGCTACCAAAATGGAGTGCATGCCGCAGGTCCGTACTTGCGTGTGTAGCCAAGTGGTAGTCACCCACACAATGGTGGCATATGGATACATATGCCCCATGATAAAAAATAATTTGAGGCATCTATATTAATTTTTTTTTCTCCAATGCAAGCTATTACTAGTGGGCCTCATTAGGAAATAGAAAATAAAGACTAGTACACATGCATCTCTACTTTTCACTTCAACATTTTCAGTTTTTGTCACCGGACCACACTTTTTCTCTTCAAGCACCCGTCTTCTGGAAAGGATCCCGCTTCCTTATCCGAACCTACTTTACGTCATATCCGATCCTACATGGCATGCGAGACATCACCTTAAGACTATGTATTGTACATGCCCTGAAGCAGGCTGGCTAGCAGTGTACGTGATGCTCAAAAGAAGAAGAAAAAGTCGTGGGCGTACTTGCACTAGCTAGCAGCTAGCACTAGCAGTATTTCTTTGCGTGCATACGTGATGCTCAAAAGAAGAAGAAGAAAATATTTGTATTATGACTTTATGACTGGACGTCCGGAGAGAGGGGCAGCCAATTTGGTTGGATCTGGCGATCGAAGACGGAAATAAGGGTGTGGCCGTGCAGAGAGGAGAGGAACCGATCTGGCGATTCATGAGCAATGCTACATCTGCCGATCGAAGATTAGGTAGAGTACGTAAAAGAGTTACGTAGGTGTAGCATTTTTGGCGATTGTTCATCGTTTCCGTTTCGTGATTAGTAAGGAAAGGAAGCTTGGTCTGTGCTTCCTGAACGGAGCACCCAATCGGTTGCATGCATTTTTGACGACGGAGTCGTGCATGTTTAGGATCGGATATATGGATGGATCCTAATACAAACACAATGACCTGCTTCGACTCAAACTCGGCAACTCGTTGGGTGGCGCCTTCTATAGAGTACCAAGTCGACGGTCACAACTCACAACCCACAATCGATCGATTTGGAGCGAGTTGCCGGCAGATCAAGTAGGATGCGCATCTCTTTGCCTTGGGACGTCGATGTCTATGGCACAATCGGACGTCGTCGTCGCAGTTAGGGAAATCCCTAACGATATGCTACAGGAAATCCTGATGAAGCTGCCGACCAAGGACGTGGCCCGCTGCTGCTGCGTCTCCAGGCAGTGGCGCAGCGCCCTCGGAGACCCCTCCTTCCGCAAGCTCCACGCAGCGAGCCATGCCGCGCTCTCGGCAGAGCCCGAGTTCTTGCGCTTATCCGGTGTACCATGCGGTATCGGCCAGAGCGTCAAGACCAGTGTCTTCAGCTTATCGTCGGATAAATCCATGTGCTCCATCGCCAAGCCCGAAGGTTACGGCCTCGCCGACATCTGCAACGGCCTCCTTTGCTTCGTGGACGAGCACGGTGCTCAGGCACCGGCGCTGGTGTGCAACCCCGTCACCGGCGAGACGCTGGAGCTTCCGGCGGCCCCTCCGCTCAGCAACAAGGATCATGCGTATTTCTTTGCCTTTGGGTTCAGTCCGCCCACCAACGAGTACAAGCTCTTCCGTCTCTCTTTCCCGCTATGCTCGTACTCCTCCGAAGAACAACGGGTGAACGTGGACGTCTACACCTTGGGTGACGCCCGCGGATGGCGCAAAGACTCGTTCCTCTCATCCTCTCGCCCACTAACCAGAGGAAATGACACTTCGACGCCAGTACTGATCGATGGTAAACTTCACGTGGTCACCAAATGTAAGACAATAGGCTTTGGGGGAACCGGCACAACCCTCTAGGGGTGACCTATCACATATATATATAATGAGGTGGTATACAACGTTACAATATACACATGTAAATACAGTCTAACACCCTCCCTCAATCTTAGCCACTTTCTAATGAATCTAGAAGGGTAAGATTGCGCCTGCAAGTCTCAAACTGTGGCAAAGGCAATGGCTTGGTGAAGATGTCAGCAAGTTGATCCTTGAAAGAAATAAACTTGATCTGTAGTTGCTTCTGAGAGACACGTTCACGCACAAAGTGATAGTCAACTTCAATGTGTTTCGTTCTGGCATGGAATACCGGATTTGCAGAAAGGTATGTAGCACCGATGTTATCACACCAAAGAACAGGAGGCTGTGATTGTGGTATATTTAACTCCTGAAGCAAGGACTGTACCCAGATGATCTCTGATGTGGCATTGGCCACAGCCTTATACTCAGCCTCAGTACTGCTACGCGAGACAGTAGCCTGTTTTCGAGCACTCCAGGCAATCAGGTTAGAGCCAAAGAAGACATCATAACCCCCCGTGGATCGCCTGTCATCCGGATTGCCAGCCCAGTCTGCATCAGAATATGCTGAAAGACAACCAGAGTCAGACGACCGAATATGCAAACCATGGGCCACCGTGAAACGAATATAGCGCAAAATCCGCTTAACAACAGACCAATGAGTGTCACGGGGTGACTGCAGATACTGGCAGACTCGGTTAACAGCATAGGAAATGTCTGGTCGCGTGATCGTCAAGTACTGGAGCCCACCAACAATACTCCTGTACTCTGTCGCGTCGGAAGAAGAAAGAAGCACACCATCAACAACATTGAGCTTATCAGTGGTAGACATGGGTGTAGTCGTCGGTTTGCACTTAAGCATCCCAGCTCGCTGCAACAAATCCAGAGAGTACTTCTTCTGCGTCATAACAAGGCCAGCATCACGAGAAGTAACCTCCACACCAAGAAAGTAATGAAGCTTCCCAAGGTCCTTGACCGCAAAATCAGCACCAAGTGAGCGAACAAGCGCAGTAGCAACCGACTGAGAGGAGCTGACCAAAATAATATCATCTACATAGACCAACAAGTACATAGTAACCTCAGGCCTTTGAAGAAGAAACAATGAGGAGTCAGCAGTTGATGATGCAAAACCATGAGCACGAAGAGCCATTGCAAGACGAGCATGCCAAGCACGAGGAGCCTGCTTCAGACCATAAATTGCCTTGGACAGACGACAGAGATGATCAGGGCGATCCGGATCAGAGAAACCCGAAGGCTGGCGCATGTAAACCTCCTCCGCCAAGACACCATGAAGAAAAGCATTTTGAACATCAAGCTGACGAAGAAACCAACCTCGAGTAACAGCCAGAGAGAGAAGAAGTCTGATGGTAGTAGGCTTGACCACTGGACTGAAGGTGTCTTCATAGTCAAGTCCAAAACGCTGTCGAAAACCACGAGCAACCAGACGAGCCTTATAGCGCTCGATGGACCCATCAGAATGCCTCTTCACTTTGAAAACCTATTTGGAATCAATGACATTTACCCGTGATTGTGGAGGAACAAGAGTCCATGTCTGATTGCGAAGAAGCGCTTGATACTCCTGCTCCATGGCCTCTCTCCAATGAGGAATGCGCATAGCAGCTTGATACGTGCGTGGCTCAGAGGATGGATCTGCGAGAGCAGCAGACATGCGCGCCGCTAACCAAGCAACTGTGCCATCATGACGTTGCTTAGGCTGAAAAATGCCACTCCAACTGCGCGTATGTGGACGTAGAGCAGCAGCAGGAGCCGGCGGAGGCGAAGGTGACGGAGACGTGACGGTCGCCGGAGATGCAGGAATCACCTCAGGCGAGCTCGGGACAGACGACTCCGGGCTGCATGGCGAAGACTGGCCCGACGACAGGGGCTCAGAGGCCATGGGCGAACCGAGAGTGGGCGAGGCCAGCTCCGGTGACACCGGCCCAGACGGCCTTGGCGAGGCGAGAGCAGGCGAGGCCGGCCCTGGTGAGAAGGGCCCAGACACCCTGGGCGAGGCAGGGGCGGGCGAGGCCAGGCCTGGTGATGACTGCCCCGACGCCCTGGGCGAGACGGGGACCGAGGAGGCCGGCCCAGTCGGCGGGGTTGCAGGGCGCGACGATGGCGAAGGCAGCCCAGAAGCCAGAGGCGACCGGGCCAGGGCGTCGATCGGCCGTGCATGAGCACGGAAACCGAGGCCATGCAGGGGCGCCATGTGCTCCTCATGCACAACAGAAGGTGCCGAGGATGAAGACGATGGCGACGAAGAGGAAGATGGCACTTCCAGAATCTCCAAACGAGCCCCACGACTAGTGCCTGCACCATGGTTAGGCAACAATAGGGGAGAATATGCAACATCATCAAATTGGTCAGAAGCAACAGAGGATGAATGCATGACAGGTGGCTCGGTAGTGGACACAGGGAGTTTGGCAAAGGGAAAAACATGCTCATCAAACACAACATCCCGAGAGATGTAGACACGATTAGTGGGCACATGAAGACATTTGTATCCTTTATGAAGAGAGCTATAACCAAGAAAAATACACTTCTTGGAACGAAACTCGAGCTTACGCTTATTATATGGACGGAGATGGGGCCAGCAAGCACACCCAAACACCTTGAAAAAGGTGTAGTCCGGTTGTTCATTAAGGAGAACTTCAATGGGAGTCTTCATATTCAAAACACGAGTGGGAGTACGATTGATGAGAAAACATGCAGTGGTGAAAGCATCACTCCAAAAACGAAACGGAACAGATGCATGGGCCAAAAGAGTCAGACCAGCTTCAACAATGTGACGATGCTTACGTTCTACTGAACCATTCTGCTGATGTGTATGTGGACATGCTAAACGGTGAGTGATCCCAAGCGACTGAAAGAAGGAGTTGAGGTTGCGATACTCGCCACCCCAGTCCGACTGAACATGAACAATTTTGTGCTTGAGAAGGCGTTCAACATGTTTTTGGAACTGAACAAAAATGTCAAACACATCAGATTTACGTTTGATAAGATAAAGCCAGGTAAAGCGGCTGTAAGCATCAACAAAACTGATATAGTAATTATGACCACTAACAGAAGTCTGAGCAGGACCCCATACATGTGAAAACACAAGTTCTAAAGGATGTTTCACCTCACGACTGGACTCCGAAAGGGAAGTTGATGACTCTTCCCCTGCCGACAAGCATCACACACTGTTACATCTTTATTACTAGACACACTAGAAAGCTCATGACGACGCAAAACATGCCGGACAATAGGTGTGGCCGGGTGACCAAGACGAGCATGCCACTGTGACGGAGATACCCGAACTCCACTGAAGACGCGAGCGACGCCAGGATGCTCCAGACGATAGAGACCTTGGCAGAGCCGCCCACTAAGAAGAATGTCCCTCGTGCCCCGATCCTTAATAAAAAGATCAAAAGGATGAAATTCACAAAGCACATTATTATCACGAGTGAGTTTAGGAACTGAAAGAAGATTACGTGTCACAGATGGAACTCGAAGAACATTGCGAAGTTGAAGACTCCTATTGGCATGTCTAGTGAGAAGTGATGCTTGACCAATATGAGAGATGTGCATACCTGCTCCATTGGCGGTGTGGATCTTGTCGGAGCCATGGTAGGGTTCACGAGTGTGAAGCTTCCCCATCTCACTGGTCAGGTGCTCTGTCGCCCCAGAGTCCATGTACCAGTGGGGATCAATGGAGTAGGACTGAATGTGTCCCTGTGGCTTCTGCGGCGGCGGACGATCAGCCATGGCGACCTGACGAGCAAAGTTGCGTGTATCCTTCCCGTCATTGCCGAGACCAAGAAAACCCCGCTGGATGCTTGTGACACTTTGAGGCCCAGTGCCCATCGCGACCACAAAGCTGGCACACACGTGGACCGCCAGCCCCTGGTAGCGTCGCAGTAGGAGGAGGGGCCGAGGTGGGTGGTGGTGACTGCCCCGAAGGAGCCCTGGATGAAGCAGAGGAGCGACCACCCTTGGTGGCGGCGTTTGCCGAGAGGGCGCCGTTGCCCCTGGATCGGCGCGTCTCGACTCGTTGCTCAGTAAGCAGGAGGCGTGAAAAGACCTCGTGTGCTGGCATGGGCGTGGAGTTGCCCCTCTCATTGATGATCTCGACTAGGGCGTCATACTCCTCATCAAGACCATTGACAATAAACGAGTTGAACTCGGAGTCGGTGAGGGGCTGTCCAATGGAGGCCAGCGTGTCGGCGAGACTCTTGACTTTGTTGTAGAACTCAGTGGCGGTGGAGTCAAGCTTCTGACACTCCCCAAGTTGGCGACGGAGCCCAGATACACGAGCCTGCGACTGTGCCGCAAACGAGCGCTCAAGAATAGTCCATGCCTCGTGGGACGTCTTGGCGAAGACAACAAGCCCAGCAACGGCCGGAGAGAGCGACCCCTGGATGGAGGAGAGGTTCGCCTGATCCTGCCCTGTCCAGACACGGTGAGCCGGATTATAGACCGGACCGTGCACGCTGTCAACCAGCGCAGGAGGGCAAGGGAGAGAGCCGTCGACATAGCCAAGCAGATAGTGACTCCCAAGAAGCGGAAGAACCTGCGCGCGCCAGAAGATGTAATTGTCCGACGACAACTTGATGGTGATGAGATGGCCGAAGTGAAACGGCGGCGGCGGCTGCGATCCCATCGAGGAGACTGGCTGAGGTGATACCACCGTGGAGACAGTCAGAGGGGCAGCCGGCGCGGTGACAGAGGGCGCGATGGCCGCGGTTGACGCCGCGAAGCCTGCCAGCGCGACGTCCTCCGCCACCAGCGGCGCAGTGGCCGAGGGCGCGACAGCCGCGGTTGACGGGGCGGCGGCGGTGTGGGCCACAAGCGCCTGCCCGGGCGAAGTAGCAGCCGGCGGGAGCGCGAAGAGGGAGCCGACGCTCCGTGTCCCGATCGGCGCCTGAAGGAAGGCGGCATCCAGCGGCCTCGAGAGAAGTGCCGCGAGGAAGGCCGACAGAAAACCGGTGGCGGTGGAGCCGGACGCAGCGGCGGACGTCATAGCAGTCGGGCGACAGCGACGGCGGTGGCGGCGGCGGCGGCGGTGGCGGCGGCGGCGGCGGCGGCGGTGGCGGCGGCGGCGGTTTAGGGTTTTTAGGCGGAAGCGGACGTAACCTAGCGTGATACCATGTAAGACAATAGGCTTTGGGGGAACCGGCACAACCCTCTAGGGGTGGCCTATCACATATATATATAATGAGGTGGTATACAACGTTACAATATACACATGTAAATACAGTCTAACACAAAGGGCTGGAATGCACCCATGTGGCAGGTGGCTGCCGGAGTGCTGGTAGTGGACGTGCCTACCGAGACGTGCCACGCCTACCCTCTCCCGGACGATCTCGGGACCTATCGATACGATAATCCACTGGCCTTTGAGCTCAAGGGGCAGCTGTGCCTCGCCGCACACGTGCTCAACAGCTATAATCGCCCCAAGGCCCTCCGCTTCTGGGTCATGGCCACGGAGAACAAGGAATCGGACGGCGAGAAGGAGCCGCACTGGGAGTTGCGCTACAGCTTCTTCGTGCAGGTGGAACCTCCGATCCCCATTCGATGGCCATGGAGCTGTGTGTCCTGGAGTGCATGGTTTCAACATGAGACGCTCTTCTACACGTGCAACGACACCTTGTACAAGTATGACACGAGGTCGTCCGTTCCTGACCACGGTCGACTGCTGCAGTGGGACAAGCAGCTCCAACGGATACCGCCATATGAATGGCTATGGTTCATCCATCGGGGTTACCGTCCAACTCTGGTCTCGCCTCGCATCTTTGAATTACCACCGTCACAAGACGAGACGATAATGGACGTATGCTCTTAAGGAATTGTAGTCTATTGTATAAGTTTATTGTCTGAGTTTTCTGATGAAAATCTGTATAATGTCCCAGGATTGAAATTTGTATTATGTTTAATTATTCTGACCAACCATTTTATTGTTGAGCATGAAAACAAATTTCGAACATCCTTTCATAGGAAATGCGGATAAAACGACCAACATATCTATAATTATGATGCACACGATCATATGTATTTTTTATTGTTATTGAAAGGGTAGTCGTGTTTGACAAAAGATGCTTACAAAATAAAAGAAACCCATAAAATTTCAACTTTTAATAAGTTATGCTACAATTCTTGACATTCAAAAAGATGCCCCTCCGATCTACATTAATTGTCGCTGCTTTAGTATGGACTGGAGGGCCGGGACTAATTGGTAGCTATATACAAGCACAAACTATTACCGCTCAAATCACGTGAGGAAGAACTTTCATAGATTTTATATTTGTCACAATCATACAGTCATCCAAAGTAAAGTCATAAGTCACACACAATCTTGTGAGCGGGCGCGCTATTCGTGTGTACCAGAACCCTGTTGAAGATGGTTCCAGTATTCTAGAAGAAAAGAATAAGTTCACAATATATGCTTGTCCCAAACTCCTTGTGTGAGCAGTACATGACTAAACCCATGACAAGTTAAACTTTAGTGTTTTTTAGAGTTCATGGGCCACATGTGCATAAGGGATGGTGGCCACTGACCTAATGGGGCCCGCTAAGAAACCATGGACCTTGAAAGCCCATGCATTTAGAGCCTATCAACATAACAATGTAATGGCAATGCTAATCTCACGTGCAATGATTTTGGGACAATTATTGACGAGTAGGCATGCCAATAACCGCATGCTTATAATAGTTGTCGTTGGTGCCCAATCTACTGTGTATATTTTAATCTGTACTAGCTACGAATCAAGTTTATTGTATCCCATGTGCACAGTGACATCAATGCCCTGCAATGGCCTCCACTATTTGCAAGGTTATCATCAGTAATGCTCCATTGATGAACAATGAATTCAATGATCACAAATACTCCCACCATGACACTACTGTGTCAAAAACGTTCTTATATTATGGGACGGAGGGAGTACATAGTGGCTACTATCTTGTTGGTGGCATATATGCCATGTGCTCCACATGCGTAAATAATTTCAAAATCTCAAGGTAACAAAAGAGTTCACTTTACCAAGCAAGGCTTAAGAATCAGCCAGTAAGAATATTGAGCGAGCATTTGGGATGTTGGAAGCTCGCTTTGCAATTGCTACGGGGCCTCCTGAACTCTGGGATCAAAGAATGTTGTGGCAAATTATGAAAGTCAACATGATAATTAAGAGTGGGTGAGATCAAGAAGAAGAATTTGAGTATGATAATGCAGGAACAACTCTGAGGCTTGAGCTACATCAGGTCGAACCCGAGCATTTCATGAAGTGTATATATAGATCAAGATCGTGTGGCACCTGAGCAAGTTCGACATGACCTATTTCATCATATGTGGTACGGTACGGTACATCTCCATGGGCAACAATTTCTCATGTGAGTTCATGTTTTATTTACATTAGTTGGTTTATTATCTTGACTTTATTTTATTTTATTTTTGAATTTGAAATTTTATAAATTTGAATCTTAATTAGAAACTAAGAATGCAATGGATTGGGAATCGGGCTATAGTTTGAGATAGGACACATTTTTTCTACCAGAACCAAGTTTTTTAATGTGATGATGGCATTTTTTTGTTTGTATTTTTTGTATGCTTAGCAATTGAATTTGCGCTGCTTGTGTTTACCTATAACTAGCTTTCTTTTTGCATGTAATGGG